GTCAATTTCATGCAAAGCCACCTGAAATACACAATAGGAAACTCTTCCAGACCAAAAAATGCTAGAACATACAAGAAATGCTACTCAAAAGAGCCACCAGTCATAAAACTTAAGGAAAGAATACTCACAGTGTGGATTTTCTCCTTCCGTTTCTGGATTTCGCCTTCAGGGCATTTCACAAATTTTGTCTGTGGACCCATCGCATCAAAATCATAATTATGCGCAAAAGCTCGGCCAATCTTTGTTATTCGGCCTGAAGCAAAAGAAAACATTTGCCGATTTCCCTTCAAAACCTGAAATCCTACAGTAACACAAAATTAAGGGCAAATGGCTATTAAAACTTAACTAATAAATGACCAAAAATGGCAAAACTGCCTAGAAACGGATGTGTAATTCTACGCTGATCAGCTTACTAAGATGCTTTTATACCAGGCCTTTCGGTGCTAAATTTCCTTTCCCAAATGATACTTATCGCTTTTTCAATCTAACTCCACCATCTTTTCAACACAATAATTCCGTGAATCAAGCAAAAAATGCGCGAACTACATGCAGCCCGTGTATTAAAAAAAAAAAAAAAAAAAAAACTCCGAAAAGTAATATTCTATTTAGGGAAAACAACATTCTGTTCATTTAGTAAGTGTTCCATCTTGGGAAAGCGTCTGGGCGAAAAAACCCCTAACTCGTGTCTCGGCTCGTTTCGATCGGTGTCCGCATGTCCAGTGAGTTCATCGACCTTATTCGTTCCCAAAATAAATTTTTATTCGCATACCTAGTATGCTCATAGTTTAAATAAACCCTTCAAAGAAATTTATCGACCGGTGAGTTACTACGGGCAACAGCGCAAGTATGTAGACTGCATTAAGTTGTATGAAAACAAAAGATAAGAGTCGGATAATGCAGGCCTTTCCCGCGGTATTCAAGCAACGCTAAGCAAAATCTATAAAAAATTTAAACTTTTCTCTAATTTACAAACTAAAAAGCAGACTTATTTGAAAATACTGTGACTGACAGCAAATGCTAAGAGCAACCATCTACTGACAGGAAGTTTTTTTTAGAAGCAAGCTGATGGCGGCTCCTTCGAAGTTTTTTCTAGAAGCAAGCTGATGGCGGCTTTGATTCCTTCAAATGCACTAATACTAACTGGCCATCGTTATGAATTATGGCGGATCCAGGGGGGAGGGAGGGAGGCGATGGGTCCTTCGCCCTCCCCTCCTCTCTCTCTTCTAGCGGCACAGGCACCAGTGCTAGAAAAGTCCGGGTTTAAAACTACAGCTGAAGAAAACTCTCTTTCGCTTTTCTCGTAGTCCCCCCCCCCCGCTCGTCGCCGCAAGGACCCCCAATTCTTTTCCCG